TGAAGTATTTGAGTAAATGCAAAATACACAAAAACATCAAAATCATCATCATCATAATTTAGGTGACATCTTTTGGACTTCATTATTTTTTGTTAATATATATATATATCTTTTATAATTAAACTTATAATATATACCTATACTTTTCACCTTTTAAAGAAATTTTTATTTTATTGTGTGCCTTATGAAACTTATTTTCATCACAAAGTACCAGGCGATCATAAAAGTGGAGCGGTTTTAGCAAAGCATACAAATGCGAATATCTGTTCCTATACTCCACACACCTTTGAGTGTACAAGTTTTCGCTTGCCTTTTACGTGGACCGGTTCATTCGCACGACTGACGCCCACTAACCGGTATCAAGTATGCCTCTCTATGTTCATGTTGTCCTGGTACTTTGTTAGTAAAAAGGATTCAAAAAGGAGCCGAAGAATCGAAAAATTTAAAATATTTTTAAAACATCAAAGATTAAAAAGCAAAAAGGTGTCTCAGTGAAGTTATGAAAATATGTATGTGCATTTATAAAAATTAAACTTAAGTTGTCTAAAATAAATAAATAAATAAAACTTCTTTATTGCCATCACACAAATACATCAAATCACACAGTAATTACAAATATATATTTATATGTATGACGACAATGGGCTACACAGGCTCAGCGTGTACCGCATGGCAAGGCCATGCGGAGCTGGGCTGGGCTAAAATGGGTTGATTGATACAGCCAGGCCTCCTTCCAAGAGCTGGTTTGTGTTGGTGGTGTTCATTTCCCTATTGAGTTATGCTTATTTCGGGTTGATAGATGAATTTCCTTAGTACATATGCATGAATAAACAAAACAAATGTTTGTCTATTCCTAATTCCGTTACCCGACATTATTTTTTTCCGTTTTTCTCGCACTTTCGAAGCGTTTGCTAATTATACAGCGTCGTTCTAAATCTGTACGTAGCGCCGTGACACTGGCCGTTAAATAGCTATTTCCGAGATCGACTCGCGACTCGTTTTTTTCCTCAAGACCGCATTTCTTTCAAATGTCAAGTGCACACATCTCCGTAATTTGTATACTTTATCTTTGTTTACATAGAAATTTCAATGTTCTATTTTTATTGTCATCACTAAATTAGTAAACACCTTTTCCATTATAGAATTATTTTATAGTAAAATGTGTCGTTGTATAAGTTTATTTAACGTGATATGACGATATTATAATAAATATTATTGAGGGGAGATAATGAAAGGAAAGTCGACAAAATAAGATAAATTATGCAGAGAATAAATCAGAAAGTCTAGGCAAGCAGTCGCACCGGGATGAGCGAGAGCGGGACCACGTTATTTTTCTCGCCCAAAGAGGTTTCTCTACTAGTTAGGTGAAGGGCCCCCGATGGGCTCGAAACTAGTCGGTGTCGCCACCGGACGAATATACGTGAGTGTTTAGCCGTTTTTATATAACTTCAAAAGTTGTTAAAAATGTTTTAACTGCAATTTTTTGCTTTTCAAGATACTAGTAATTATGTCTAATTAATGAGAACGAAATGAATAATGTTAAGGTCAACGTAAATAATTCTAACTTGACACAAATGTAAGCAAGTTGAATGAGTAACAATCGAAATTAATGAATGTGTTCTTTTTTATTTTCCACTTTATAAAATTGTCGATGTCGTTAATAAAAAATTATCATAGACAATTTATTAATTACTCAAACGTAAACAATAATTTGCAAGAGTCAAGGTGAACAAGACATTGGCAATCATATAATTAATATAGTCAACATGTAAAATATGTTACGTAAAAAATACATATTCATATGTGGATTATATTTAATAGAAGCAGAAGTAATTGCATGTTATACTAGCTATTTATCCAAGCTTTGCTCAGTTAGAAAAACAAATCTTACTAAAATTATAAATGCGAATGTTTGAATGGATACCGCTACGACTTAGGGTGCTTCAAGAAGCGAGTGTATCACCATCTCAAAGGCCTCTGCGGTTCCTATGGTATTGCTGATGCCCATGGGCGTCGTTGAACACCTCGGTGTTCTCGCTGCTCGTTTGCCCCCTTCTGTTGTAAAAAAAATAGATGTTTGTTAGTAGTTATCTCCGGAACGGTTCAATCGTTCTGGATGAAATTAGAACATAATCTGGAAGAACACATAGTCTGTTCATTAATTCTGCGGACGGAGTTGCGGGCTACAGTTAGTGTATTATTTCTAGTATATTTCTCTATCTTACTAATATTATAAATGCGAATGTTTAAATGGATGCATGGATGTTTGTTTAAAGGTGTCTCCAAAACGGATGGATGATGAAATTTGGTATTCATATAGAACATAGGTTGGAAGAACGCGTAGGCTACTAATTAAGTTTTTTTTGTAACCTTGCGGACGAAGTTGCGGGCTACTGCTAGTCATGCTATAAATCATATTTTGCTGACGTCACATTAAACTTGAATTTCCAATCTGTTATAACACTCTGGGGGTTTTGTTCATGTTCTTAATAATTCAGAGTGATGTATAGCTACTATTTCATTCCGCGAGATTGCTTCCACATAAAATATGCAATTGCTTTATTTGACGAGACGAATAAGCTAGGAGATATTATTTCTTTGACTATGGATGGATATTGCACATTGCTGGTCTTAATCTTCCTACTTATCTTACTAATATTATAAATGCGAATGTTTAGATGGATGGATGGATGTATGTTTGAAGGTATGTCCATAAGAGCTGCATAGATTTTGCATAAAACATAAGCTACATATTACTTTTTCTTTTAATTCTTCGCGGACAGAGTCGCGGGCGACAGCTAATATATTTATAAGTTATAAACTTTTTTTACGATATAGAAATATAATTTACTTTATAAATTTTAAAGGGTCGTTTGACCGGTTCGTCTTTTGTTGAATAATCAATTGAATTAATAAAAAAATTGGACGCACGTAATCAAAGTTCTAGGCCAATAGTTGACCTTCGATCTTATGACACTTCAGTAATACGTATGCCAAGAATTAATTAAAATTAAACGTTCAAGTTCTTTTTCTTATAAACGTAACAATGAATGCAAATGAAGATTAATTTAATCATACTTAAATGTTATTTATAAAGACTCCACTAGCCATACTCAGAGTCGTCAGTTTACTTAGTGTAGATTTAGTAGAGTACCTAATAGTACGGCAGCAATTCATTGGGCCCGATGAAAAACTTTGATTTCTGTCCATATACCTAGATATAGAACAAAACATGAGTCACAGCCTCTAGAACCCAACTTAATCTTAAATAATATATTATATATAGTTATGATAAAATGCTAAAGTTCATTTATTGAACAATCATTTGACTCATATAATTTATTTTTTGTTTTGAGTACTAATTTAAATAGAATAGTCCACTATACGTCCCCTCCGAGGGGCTCGGAGTCTACCCTAAGTTAGGGGTGACTAGGCGGTAGTCAACCACGCTTGGCAAGTGCGGGTTGACTTCTCACATATCTTTGAATTTCTTCTCAGATATATTAGTAAGAACGTCAGATGAATGTACATATGCAAATCGGAAATCGAAAGACACAATGGTAAATGGTGGGATTCGAAGCCAGGATGTGCAGATTGCAAGTCAAGGTCTTGACTCCTGAGCCATCGACGCTCTAATAGAATAGTATTATAAAATAATATTGACGAACGATAAACGTTATTCACTTGCTTTCACAGTGAAAAAATTATTAATTTTTATTACAGTGAAATTTAATTACATTTTATACGGTACTTGCTGACAGTTGTTAATATTTAATTAAAGGAGTAGTTTGCGCTCATACTGTAGGGTGGAGGGTGGAAACTACCCCCTGTAATTTATCATCTATTTCATTTTAATTAAACTTTTCTATATAGATGAGAAATAAACTTGATTCAGGTCTGTATAAAGATAATTATTATAAGGCTCTTCCATCTTAAGTTTGATTAGATATAATCAGGACTGGTTTCAGAATTTCTGGAGCCCAGGGCGAGATTTTTACGACGCCATCTTTTTTGGTGTCGGGGGAAAACTTCGAATAGGGTCTTATGGGACATACAAGGCACTCCTTTATATCACTTGACACTAGGGTCTGCGACGCCCAATTTTACCAAGCGCCCTGGGCGGTCTCACCACCGGGCCCTTCCCTAACTCCGCTACTGGGTTTAATTTCATTTAAATGTTTGTGTTTGAAATACATTGAAATTTTAATCTATGGCTTGTATTACCGAAGTGTACAGAACTGTATTGCTATTTCTTTTTTTTCGAAGGGAATATAAGGGATGGCATGTTTTTGTAAGGTTGTTGCGGCTGTTACATACGGTTACTTGGAATTAAAGCGTACAGCATGATCTAGAAAGTATTAGCGACTTTTGTTTTAAAATATTGCATCAATTTTTATTAATCAATCTTACTAATGTTATAAATGCGAATGTTTAGATGGATAGATGGATGGATGTTTGTTTAAAAGTATTTCCAGAAAGACTGAACGGATCTCGCTGAAATTTGGTATACATATAAAGCATAGTCTGGAAGAACACATAGCTATAAAATAATATGTAAACACGCAAACTTTTATAAAATAAGTTTTTCATTGTTAGTTTTATCACTTTTTTAATATTGTAATTTTAGTTGAAAGTATGTTTATATTTAAAGACAATAAACAACTATACATTGTGTTATCTGATGTGGTTTTACTTCCATTTTGAAAACATAAAAATCTACTTAACACAATCTATTTGAATGAAAGGCAATAAAAGTTACATTTAAAGGGAATGTCTTAATAATTTAGTACTTAAAGAGAAAGTTATTTTTAGGTAAAATTTCTAAAAGTTATTCCATAATCTTGTAAAAGGAAAAAGTCTTAGGGCACACAAAAGTACAATGGTATGTTAATCAGTTAAAATGTCGAAAATCAAATAGGCACAAAATACTACGATTTATAGCCAATCCATTTTAATAGGTCAGTGCTTAAAAAATTGACTCTAGCTTTTTTTTGTTTCAGTGTATGAAGGCATACGTGGAGTTTGAAGTGTGCAATGGTGCGTACGAGGTATCGTGCCCGGATGCATCGTGCCGTGTGGGTGCAGCGCTCTACATCGATGAGATCTCCGCCCTCCTCGACTACTCCTTGGTACAGAAGCATCTCAGGTTCCGTCTAAACCATGGTTAGTTAATCACATACATTCCTATATTAATACTTTGCTCCTGCTTTAATTTACACTATCCTACTAATATTATAAAATGCGAAGAAATTCAAAGATATGTGTGATGTCAATGAACCCGCACTGGGACTATGGCATAGTAACTCCTATTTTAGGATAGGCTCCGAGCTCCTCAGCGGGGACGTATAGTGAGCTGATGATGATGACTAATATTATAAATGCAGAAGTTTGGATGTTTGCATGGATTAACGGCTTAACGGATCTCCCTAAAATTTTGCATAAATGTAGAACATAATCTGGAAGACCATGTAGGCTACTAATAAGTTTTTTTAATTGCGTGCGGACGAAGTCGCAAGGCACAGCAAGTTTTAGTAATAGCACTTAATAGAGTCCTTAGGTCACTTAACATGATATACGGAGTAGATATTTTCTTATCTAATTCTAATAAAAAATAATTCATTTAATTTAAAATAGTACTTAAATTCTAATATCATCACTATTTCTATAATTTGCAACATCATGCATGCTGCAAGCATTTATAATAGTTACGTTTTCCTTTGAAATTTGCTTAAAAAAACACTCATAAAAGCGAATAATGGTAACCACAAAGGAACGATTCAATTCAACGGCGAACAATTGCGACTTGAAACAGTTGCAGTTGAGCAGTTCACACGCGCAAATGCAAACATGTGCCAACTTTAAAATAAATATTTTGCAATATTAAAATGAAATAGTTTATTTTTAGAACAATGGACAGTGTTACCAACATAATAACTGTACACCAACATACGTTCTTTATCATTCAAACACAATGCCAGGCAATATAATTTCGTAGATTTTTAGGGAGTTGAAACTAACCGTTAAGGCTTACTTGTGGTAGAACTCCCGGACCAATACAATATCCTTTGCCTCAAGGATACGTCAAATGTTGCAAATATTTTAAAGTGCAAATGTATCTTTTTTTGTTTTTAAAATTTAATTTTAATCTTTTACGTTCTCCACGTACATCATTTAGGTATTCCCCTCTCACCTGACATTTAGGATTCTCTGAAATCACTGATAGGAATTTCCGAAGTTAATTGGCAATTAAAATAATAACAAAATCGTAAAGTCTCATAAAAAGTCTATTTTTAACTCGGAACGTGCCGTTTTTTTTTACTTAAATAACATATTTGCGATTGAATTTCTATATTTGTTTTTAAATACATTTTATTTTCTCTTTGAACTGTTTATTTTGAATCAATTACGTCGGAGCTCACGTTTGTGGGATTTCCCTCAGTTTAGATAAGGTTACTGAAGCCTTTGCAATTTGTAGAAGAAAATTCAATACTACATTTTAATTGAAGACGTATATCTGTAGGTATTTAATAATACTGGGATCTCTTTGTTCAGTTTCGTAACCGTACGTTTCCACCACAGAAAACTAAGTCCAAAAACATTGTATCAGTTCTCTAAAAGAAACCGAAAGGATGAAACTATTTTTGTTTCTTCGACAGTTTCGGTACGATTACACCAGTGAAATACCACGGTAATAATTTAATATTGGAGATGGAAGTTAAACTTTCAAAAATCTTTTAGTAATATGATTTTAGTGACTATTTTTATTGATTATTTAAAAATATATCGGTGTACTGTTTACAGAGAAGAAAAGAAAAAGTACTAACGCTCATAACTCGGGTAGGTAGAGACCATAGATTTCCTAAACCTAATCTACATACATGTACGTCGATTTTGGTGGAATACCGCCCTAAGAAAAACCCGAATGTAAATCTTTGTCTTACCTTCATCCAGCTATTAGATATAATTATACGAGTACATTCGTCATTATGAGATGTTTCAAATAAAAGTTGACGCAAGGGAAATGCCCAATTCAAAGAAATAAAAGCATCGCGATATTTCCGAGTGAGTGAGACTAAATTATGAAATATTTTACAACGTATACGGTGGTATCAAAGTTGACGTCACTTCGTATACAAAGAGAATTTTTAGTGAAAACGTTCTTTGCGATGTTTTTACTCTCCCAAACGATTTTTTTATTTAACATTATTCAGTAAAAAAATATTGTTTATTGTTTCACTTTTTTCGAATATTGGCAGCATTTAGGTATGTTTTTTTAAAGTATAATAGAAGATGAAAGAAGTTGTTAAATTTGACAAGCCCAGGTGGCGCACTGTTAACCCCTTTCTGAAATGCTTTAGTTGCATTGTAAACGCACGAGACGGTAAATATTTAAATTCAGTATTCAAACGAATTTAAACCCAAACGTTAATTAATTTGGATTTAAATTTGATTTCTTTTAATTATGAGAATGGGGAGTTGACTCCCTGTGTCAGTCGCACGATATCGTGGTAACCGGAGCGTGGCAATTAGTGATCACAATTTGACTCTCAAGTGTACTAGAATATTATAGGTATGAATTCATAAAGTTGAAATTAACCCTGTGAACCGCACGGGAGTCACCTAGTTACGTGGCGTGGCGCTTTGCTGATTATTAGAGCGCTTAATCAAAGCAACTGCGCGTCTATGTGATCCTAGTTGCTGTCCTAATAGAAATAAAATACACGCCGTAAAGAGGAGTTAGTGGAATTAATTCAAAGACTAAATGTCGCCCGCAACTCCTTTCGAGGATAATTAAAATAACTTAATTAGTAGCCTATGTATTGTTCCAGACTATGTTCATCTATGATAAATTCTAGCAAGATCCGTTGTAAAGTTCTACCTTGTAACAAATACCCATCCATTCAAAACATTTGCATTTATGATATAATACTATAATTTAAAGTCTGCTTTCATCAAACCTTTAGTATACTCCTTGAAAGTTAACCTAATTTTGATATGAAGGCATGAATTAGTTCAGCAGCTGATAAATCTCGTAACCAAACAAGCAAATTCCATTTTCTCTTTGTTGTCGTGTCTATCGCTTTGCTCTGTGGTTCCTTTGTGTTGTCGATCATATTTTAAAAAAAGGTTAATATAACAACGATCTGACATTGACCTTACAATCGGACACTTATAAAGGTTGACTTCGTTCTTCCGTTTCCTGATAACCGAGACATTTTTCTGCATTTTTTATCACTTACTATCGTAATTTGAAATTTCCTGGTTTATAATTTTTAACGATTAATTTTTACGTACTGAGTCGGGGTTACTAGAATAACAGGTTCGAATTAACTAGCGGTCGCCCGCGACTTCGTCTGCGCAGAATTGAAAAGTAGGCTAACATACTCGCGTGCAAGATTTGCCAAAATCGGACCAACTGTTCCGGTAATTATCCGGATCAAACGCGTCTTTGCGGACAGACATACACACAAAAATTCTAAAAAAAAATATTTTTCGTTATCAGCTACGCAAACTCGTTATGTGTGCGAATCATTTTTTTACCTGTATTACAAACAGACAGTGCAATTTAATGTATATTATTGTAATTATTTTGTACGTTAAGGTTTTTTTACATGTTATCTCGTTTAGAGGCTTTTACATTAAAGGTCGTCCACCTCTTTACCGGCTGTATCACGTACAATTAGCATGCAATAGTAATGAAAAACATTTACACGTTCTTATATAAACGAAACGTTATGTAAATGAGGATTATTAAAAGGAGACATCAGGTTTTTTTTTGTTAAATGAAAGATAGAGTAAAGAGTACGTCTTTGCATTTTGTTTATATAAGACAGGGATGGTTTAAATAGCTCTGTTCAAATTATATACTAGCTAATCGCGGGTTTCTGACAGAATGAAAACAGAGATAATAACAAGTTTTAAACGAGGATTTTGGTCTCCGAAACCCACGATGTGAAAAGGTAAACAACACCTCAAATAATAATTAAAATATAAGCGGTCTCCAAGACCAAAATCTCTGCTTAAAGGCAATCCCTGTCATTACCTTTGACAAAAACGAGATAACAATATATTTTAAAAGGGTATTTTGGTCTCGGAAACCCACGGTAAGTTAATTGTATGCGTCACTAATATGCGCAGTTGCTACGTCTAAACGGTAGGTGTCATTGTTGTAAACTTTCACTTTACAAAAGAAGTTGGAGTCATTGTTTAATTACAAGGTTATTGTTTATCCCACGCAGTAAACGAAAGTATTCAAAGTTCAGTGAGTTTTTTGATACCCACTTAAGTTATCAATTAACCCATGTTTTCATTGTTTTAAATTATACAAAAACCTCATTATTTCTGAAAATTAGGTTTTTCGCAATGGATTTTCATTGTTACCGGTTAACAAACCGGTATCAAAAAAAATTATAAAGTTGCAAACGAGAATCCAGCCTCTTGAGTTCGCCGAAATAGCGAATAGATCACTGTCCTTGCCTAGTTTTAATCGAAGGAAAAGGGGACACACATAATATATTTCCCCCCCGGCTCTGCGGCCTCCCTTCTGTAATATTCACTGCCTTATAAAAAAAGGGTGGGAAGGATAACAGAACTAAAATTAAGTCTCAATAACGCACGTAATTACATTTTAGGAGTCCGTACTTGTTCTAATACATTTTAATTGTTATGAAATGTGGCTGAAAATGTAGTCACAGTGTGAGAAATTAATGCTAAAACTGAAATCTGCATTGTGAGTAATTGGGTTAATGGGATGAAGTATTTTGGTACTGCAGTCAAAGCTTAAACCATAATACCTCTTTGGTAATTAGAAAATTAGAAGAGTTTAAATGACTGTAAAAAATAAGCTTAGTTTTATCACAGCTACAATTATCCTCTCTCCTTATTGTTACTTTGTTACAAGGTAATAAATGTCGGGATACACAATTTTGCGCTCTATAAATCTATATTAATTATAGACATGCCTTATGATAGACAAGATAGCCGGCACCGGATGACAACGCAGTCGAGGCAACGCTCGGCCGTGACTTCGTCCTCTATTGCACTTGCATTAACTACGTGTTTCTTATTTAGTCTTTACTGGCTTAGGTGGTTAAATTACATAGTAAAGAAGTTTTGAAGTGCATTGCGGTTAAAATTTAAAATGGAAGCTAAGAATTAAAAGACTAAGGTTTAGGATTTTTATATCAATAAGGTCATCTCTTAACAATAGAAGATTCTTATGCAGGTTACACACGTTAGGTTACATTAGTCAAACCGTAGCGTGTGTGACCTGCATCAAAGTCAGTTGCAGTTCGTCTTGTTATGGACGTCATGGCCGTTGGTGATCACCTATTAAAAAAAAAAAGAATGTAGGTCACAATTTGTTTGTGTAATGTTTACAATTTTGGTATTTATTCCAGAGGTATCAATGGACGTGAGCCGCGCGTTCTGCCCTCGCGCCGGCTGCGATACCGTGGTGACGGTGCGGGCCGCAAGTCCTGCGCATTGTCCCACCTGCCGGCACGACTTCTGCTCGCAATGCAACCAGGAGGTAAGCGAACAACTGCAGCCAGGGGTGACAAACTAATAGTACCGCAAACGCCCATCTTGCTTACTTACGAAAATACATATGTGATTTTTCTTTATCTATTTCTGTTACTGGCTGACAACAATATCTCACTGTGTAGATTTGTATAGAAAATCAAGGCTAGTGCAGTAACGAGACCATTAAACTTATATAAAAAGGGCTAAACGTCCGGTGGCGGCACCGACTAGCGCCCGATAGGCTCGAAACTAGTCGGTGCCGCCACCGGACGAATATACGTGCGTGTTTAGCCGTTTTTAATTAAGTTTTATACAAAACAACATTTAAGCCTATATAGGGTGTTTAATCCTTTAAATGAAGTACATTGTGTTACCGATGTATTATCCTTAATGAAATTATAAGACTAAAATATTTCATTCAAGTTATTAGTTTTGTCTTGTGAACGTATTTATTTTGCTTCATATTGTTTGTACGTATTGTTTACAATACAATGTAATTATTTTATATGTTAATGTTGTCTTAACATATTCTGCGATGTTTTACCGGAAATGTAAACAGTCTTGGTATAATCTGAAAGGGTTGAAGTAAAAACTAGCAACACCAATTTTCTCAACAAAAAATTTTCGGACTCTTACTAATACATATCATAAAAGCGCAGTGAATGTTTTCACTTAAATGGCTGCATGGATCTCGATGAAATTTGGCTTATATTTAGAATATAATCTGAAAGAACACAAAGGTTACTAATTAAGTTTTTTTATTCCGCGCGGATGGAGTCGCGGGCGACAGCTAGTATATTTATAAAAGCTACTCTAAATATCATATTTTCTGATTACCATTTAAGTTAAATTATTATATTTTTTATACTTTTCGTAAATGTTGAAAGAAAACAAAACTCTGTAAACGGAAAGGTCACAAAACGGTATTCCCGAAATAGCCCGCCGCTGACCCTAATTTATTACGTTTGTGTTTACACATCGAATCGCTTTGGAATCCCTTTTACTCCCAAAGCAATGTTAATTATGTGGCAGTGCTCAAAATTACTTTTGCAAATGTAAATATTGCGTGGGTTACATTGCAAATGTATGATCGTACTTAAACATCGTCTTTAAAAACCAATAAAAGTAGGCTGTGTATGTTTCGACAATGAAAACTGAAAGTAAATTATACAAATGAACAATTTTCTATGTGAACAAGTTTCCTCTATTGTGATTGTTAACAGCAAAGCAAAGGTCGCCGGACTGGCACAAAGAAAAGAAATGTATCTACATCTTTCTATCTGTAGCTACTCTGTGCTCTTTTGTGTTCTCTCTGTAGTGTGTATATGGAAAGTGCACTCTATTTGGATATCACAAACAACGGAGGCCTTGAAATTAGGGTTGCCAACTTTTATCTCGGACATGTTTTTTTTTTAAATTCTTTAATTTGAATAAATTAAAACTTATATATTGAATGTAAATATATCCCATTCTACTGATTATTTACGTCCTTTTTGCTATGTAAGTATTCTCATTTAGAGAACATTTTTTTAACCTCGATAGTTTTTTGCTGGATATCTAGGTAATGGAAAATTACGTTATTGCGCTAAGCACATGATAAATATTGATTTAAAACTTGTAAAGAGGTAATGACTTTACTTTGTTTATTAAGTTATTTAAAAATGAAGAAATAATATTGAAATAGAGTATTTAATGTCTTAAGGATCTCTTCAATCAAGGATATACCAATAAGTTGGTTGTATATAAATTTATTCTCGACTAAGGACAGTTTTGACGAGTATGGTCATTAGATTTATAATCTTTCCCTGAGTTTCACAAGGGTACAGTCAAAGGTTTTTATAGTGATACTATTAGGATTTATCGTTGACTTTTCAATGTCCTTGTCCTGATTTTTTATCCAGCGTGTCAACCCTATTGAGCTTTGGTGAACTGTGCCGGTGCAACTGGGTCGAGGCGGAACAATGGCCGCGCAGGGCTCCTGAATTCGAGTGACACTCGCGCAAATGCCTCCCGGCATACCGCCCTATATGCACACTGTACACAAGTACACATTACCCTGTTCACACGTCCACTTTACACATGTACATACGTACACAATACACATTCGCTATTGAACAGTTTTATAATGCCGGAAATATTAGAATACCGTTACACAGCTAAATTCAATGATGCTTTACCATAAGCAACTAGCTGTTGCACGCGACTCCATCCGCGCGGAATATAAAAAAAATAGTAGCTTATGAGTTCTTCTAGACTTAGTTCTACATCTATAACAAATTTCATCGAAATCCGTTGAACCTTTCGGGAGATATCTTCAAACAAACATCCATCTAAACATTCCCATTTATAATATTAGTAATAGTAATTATTAGTAAAGTGATATTTATATATTATTAATAGTATTGTATTGTTAGTTACAATAACTCTAATTACTTACTTACATTTACCTTATCGAATTGTTTAAATTGAATTCGTGCGGTTTCTGTGCTATAATAGCGGCACGACACAAAAAGTAATTACACTTTTATATGTTAACCTTGCTACCTGTAATGGACCGGACAATTAACTAATTGTTTTACCTAATGATGTTTTTTTCTATTATCTATTCTTATACATTTACAGTTAGACAACAAGCAAACTAGATTTCAATCCATGGACTAAAAGAAGTATACAGAACGTCTAATTCTATTAAGTTTAAGTAGACGAGAAATATTCTCTCTCTGTTCCGGTCTTTTCGAACGTTGATGTAGAGACTAGTATTAGAACATTCAAACTTTATGTAGGCTCTAACCGTGAGTTTCTAAGACCAAATTTTCTGTATACAACATATCATTCCTGTCATCATCTTTGACAAAACAGAGATAACACGTTGTAAATGGATATTTTCGTCTTAGAAACCTACTAACACCTTAGTTAGCGGAGAGTGTATACATTCTCAAGATGGTGCCAGGTAGACGAGGAAAACGTCTACGTGTCGCCACTACCTACAATTGTATTTTTTCTTGCGATATTCCGATCCGCAGTAAAGTTTGAATAGCACAATGGATCTTTAAACATGACATAATGTTCGTTTTATCCTTCATACAACCTCGAACATTACCGGAATGAAATTGAGGCATTAGATTCGTGTTTGCGTGGTAACGAGCCGAGCAAACACAATTAAACTGCGCAAACAAGTTCAAGATCCTACAACGATAATAATGACGATTGCTAAGCGTTATCATACATAGACAAAAACTTTTTTCTAGATCAAACCATAGACGGAGATTTCAAATTTTCTTTTGAAGATCGAACATATTTTCCTCCTTTCTCTTTTTTTAAGTTATACCAACATCTATCTTCATCTATATTATATATAAAAGCCTGGTAAAGCGTGCCACTGATACTTGACCACGATGACCACGACCAGTCTGACAAGACTGAAATGACGAAGAAGAAGAATTATATATAGATGTTGTCTTACTTCATACTTATATTATAAATGCGAATGTCTGAATGGATGGATGTTAGAAGGGTTCTCCAGAAAGACTGGGACGCGCTGAAATAATTGTAGAACATAACCTGGAAGTACACATAGGCTACTTACTATTTTTTTTCGGAAAGAGTCGGGGGAAAAGGCTAGTATTATTTTATATAAAGGAAACGAATACGATGAAACGAGTACGACAGTTAAGGTTCGTTTAATCATCATCAACCCGCCGTTAACTCTACGAAGGGTCGACACAGTATGTACTACTTCATACATCTCTCTCTCTCTCTCTCTCTCTCTCTCCATATCTCTCTTTCTATCCATTTTTTTTTAATATTACACTGTAGAACCTAATAAGTAGTAATAAAACATTTAGTATTTAGTAGAAACGTGATATGTCTTATCATTTATTAAGATAACCGTGATTATTTGTCACGGCCGATAGCGACGTTATCTTTAACCACGATGAATTACTATTCACTATCATTACTGACAGTAGACTTAGGGATCTTGATTTTTCTAACCAGATATTATCATCGTATACGTCCCCGCTGAGAGGCTCGGAGCCTACCCTACGTTAGAGCTAACTAGGCTATAGGACACGCTGGTTCAGTCCGGATAGGACTAGGTAAACACTAATCATCAGCTTACTATACGTCCCCACCGAGGGGCTTGGACACTAACCTAAGTTAAGGGTGATTAGGCCATAGTTAACCACGCTGGCTCAGTGCGGGTTGGTTGACTTCACACATATCTTTGAATTTCTTCTCAGATATGTGCAGGTTGCATCACGATGTTTTCCTTTACCGTAAGAACATCGGATAAATGTACATATGTAAATCGGTAGTCGAAGAACACATTGGTACATGGCAGGATTCGAACCCAGGACCTTAACCCTTGAGCCACCGACGCTTCAATTTTTATACTATTAAAATAATTTTCTATACTGTCGGAGGTAATGCTTGGAACGACGTTGATTTCCTGCGTAAACAATGGTAACTCACAATTTTGTTATTTACGCAAAAAAGTTTTTATGTCATCTTTGGTTATTATTTAAATGAAAAAAATTAGCGTGCAATAATGTTTTGCCTTTATATTTAGGCGTGCGAAATGCCTTGCCTTGAAAATTAATTTGCATCGCAACGTACATGAATTTATTTATGTAAATATTTATATAAGTTAATACATTTTACATAGTTAATTTTGAAAAAAATCTATAATTATGTACATATGTGTAGCTTTTGTTGTATATATGGTATTTATGTATATATTTTACGAATTATCTATGATGTTAAGTCAAAAGATGAAAAGTTAAAATAATCGTTAGTATAAGTATTTCAGGAAATACACAACTATGTGTGTTATCGACAAATTGTGTACGGCGCCAGTTAGAAATTTGCCCGGGTTTTAATTCACATAGTGACATTGTTATATTTTTGTCTCCGGCACGCACCATTAACAAACGAAATGCGGAATTGCTTCCACTTCACACTGTCTTCTAAGTTGTCGTGTTGTACCGTGCGAACCGACCAAATCGACGTTGACCGTTGACCAAAATGTGTATTTTGTGAATGTATACAAATATTTATGGTTTTTTGGGCCATATTACAAACTGGCCATGTACGCAATTTGCCGGTGACATACAGAATAATGGAAGGGAAACTTTGCGGTAACGAGAGTTCGCGTTTGTTGTTAACAATAACTTTGGTGGCCGCTATTCAATTAGCTAAAACAATGCGAGTTATTTACGGTCGCAAGTCTAACTTTCCTTACTCGACTTAGACAATAGTTTGCAAGTAAAATAGTCTGAATTAAGTTATAAACTAAACATGCATTGCAATGTCTAAGTCAAAATAATATCTTGGTCGAAGCCAACATATTTGTTTTTAATTTATCTTCCGATATTTTAGAGCCCAAATTTCTGGCGTCATCGGAACACTGCCAAATGTAGAATCAATTGATAAATATTATTTTAGTTCCTTTGAGTTTTTTCATCTTACTTCTTAGTAATTTACTAATATTATAAATGCGAAGATTTGGATTGATGGAGGTTTGTTACAAGATATCTCCAGAACGGCTGGATCTCGCTGAAATTTGGTATAGATGTAGAACATACAATAGAAGAACACGTAGGTTACAATTAAGTTTTTTTTTTTAAATTCGGCGCGGACGGTGTCGCGGGCGACAGCTAGTTTTATAATCTTATATATAAAATTCTCGTGTCACAATTTTAGTTCCCATACTCCTCGGAAACGGCTTGATCGATTCTCATGAAATTTTGTGAGCATATTGGATTTTAAGATTGAAGGTCTAAGAATCGGCCAACATCTATTTTTAATCCCGCGCGAACGGAGTCGCGGGTGACAGCTAGTAATTTATAATAAAAAAATATTTTTATTCCATATTTTTTGTACATTTAGAAATATTGGAGATGTAATGCCTGTCTGACTGTAGTTTATCGATGCTAGTATAAGTGTAAATGAATACATTTAAATGATAACGTGTTTGTCATCGATTTTGTATGTATTCAAGTGTAATGTTTGCCCGCGGCCTCCGGCGATGTCTCTCAATCTGTACAAATAACACGCTCCAATCCTCAGCTCGACACACGTACAAAAGTTCCCTGTATTTACCTACATCTTTGATACATGTTTACAATTGAATTATAGTTTCTTACGTACGAATTACTTTTTAGTTGTTTTTCTGTTAACTGGAAGTTTTCGTGTCTGTTGCTATGTAAGATTAATTACTCAGATGACATGTGATCGTTTTACCGTAGGTTTATGACATCAAAGTCTCTTATCAAACGTATCGTCATCCCTGTCTGTCGTTTTTAACAAAATAGAGATAATAATGTTTCAAACGAGAATTTCGGACTCAGAAACCCAAGGTTAGTATGAAATTTTGGAACAGATTTTAATTCCGATTTAAAATAAAACATAGATATAGTACAACTAGCTATCGCCGCAACTCTATCAGCGCGGAATTAAAAAATCGTTCTTCCAGACTATGTTCTACATCTATGCCAAATTTTAGCTAGATCCGTAAAACCGTTCTGGAGATACCTTGTATCAGAGATCCCTCCACCCAAACATTTACATTTATAAAATTAACTAGCTGTCGCCCACGACTCCGTCTGGGCAGAATTGGAAAAAACATAATTAGAAACTTCCTGCCTCGCACAGCAGCGTTGTGGAATGGTCTGTCCTCTGCGGTATTTCCAAACCGCTACGACTTAGGGTCAAGAAGCTAGCTTATCACCACCTAAAAGGACGGCAACGCATCTGCGGTTCCTCTGGTATTGCTGATGTCCATGGGCGTCGTTGAACACCTCGGTGTTCTCGCTGCTCGTTTGTCTCCTTCTGTTATAAAAAAATTGTAGCCTATGTGTTCTTCCAGACTAATCAAAATCCGTTCCGGAGAAATCTTCAGACGAACATCCATCTATCCGTCTTTTATTTAACTTACTCAAAATTCGTTCCAAATGTACACAGATTAAACACATTCGTATTGTTGATTAGATGACGTCATCTTGAAAATATCTATAGAATGAATCTATATATTTCTAGATCTTAGTGTTAGGTCATCATGTTAGGTTTAACCTCTATCAATATTCACGCATATTAGCGTAATAACTTGTAAAGATTTGTTATAATAATAATCATTGCTGACGTTATCTTTATTGTAAAACAATTAACTTTTAACCTTAACTATAGCTTAGCAATACTCGTGGTTTAACTATGTTTTATATATTTAATTTATTTAAATAGATACTGTAGTTTGAAGTGTATTTCTTTCAGAATTATTTGACTCATACAAATCGAGTAACTACTTTACTAAACCACTAGCTGTCGGTATTAAAAAAACTGAATTAGTACCCTATGTGTTCTTCCAGACTATGTTCTTTATGTATGCCAAATTTCATTAAGATCCATTCAGCTGTTTTGGTGATACCTTCAAACAAATATCTATCCATTTAAACATTCGCATTTTTAATATTAATAAGACTAAAGGTGGATACATTTTTTCCACATCTGATTTTTCTTGCCATTTTTATTCCGTACGATATTTTTTGTAACCTCAACGGAATAATCCATTTTGAATTGTGAAGTGTCATACGATTTATATTCTCCCAAGGAGTATCGTAGGGTATTAAACAGGATATAGCTGGCCTAACATAACACATTCGATTCTTTGTACAAAATAATAAGCAATATGTTGATTTGTCCTAACTCTATCTTTGTTGTTTCAGTGGCATGGCGATTTGTCGTGTGAGGCGGCGGCTGCGTCGTCGTCAGGTGCGGGTGCGCCGTTGCTGGCCGAGTCGGAACTCATCAAGTTGTGCCCGATGTGTCGTGTACCCATTGAAAAGGATGAAGGTTGCGCGCAAATGATGTGCAAACGATGCAAGCATGTCTTCTGCTGGTATTGTCTGGCTTCCCTTGACGTAAGTAGTCAGTTTTATCCAATGAGATTTTCGCATGTTACCCGGGGATAGTGTAGCTTCGCAACTGTTGAAGACTTTTTCAAATCGGTTCAATAGTTTTGGAGTCTATTCAAAACAATCTAATCTTTACTCTTTATAATGTAATGTAGCTCAATTTGTCGATAGTAGGATTACGGTTTAAATTGTGTGGAGCCTTCTATTGATACATACAAGGTTGAATGTGTCTGGTATTATCATAGCAGGATTAACCTGACAGTAAACGTGCCTGGTAACGCGAGATAAAGAGGAAACCTGCTCTTGGATATAGAGACGTCAAAATCCCAATAATATTATAGCACTGTGTTGTTTTTATAATTATCTCAACCTTAATTCGTAATATAGACATTCGTAATTAATGCTATTTAAGTGTACATTGATGAAAGCTTTTTTTTTAATTTAGTTGATTTGAAGTAGTGTGGGCTTAGCACGAATAATAGCGACAAGCGTCTTCGCATAATCATCGTCAATTATGTCTAAATTATTATGTGATTTTTGGTATACTTTACGCCCTATACAAAAGTTTTGATACAAAGTTTGTCGATGACGATACGATAGTGTCTTATATTCGTGCTAAGCCAACCGAATATAAACCCGACGGGAATTCTTAGATGAAGTTAGCTCTATGTTACGGGTAACACACTAAATTGTAGACTAACCTTATAGATATAAAATATATTAGAACTTATGGAGTACTCACTTAAGATAGTCGGGCACATTGCCAGATAAAAGCCGATATTTTCATAGAAGGCAAAGTCGAAAATAGAATAAGGTCAATAAGGCTTTAACGAACTGGGGACCTTCGTTAAGTGAAAACTGAAATTACTTATTATTATTATACCTTTTACTTATTAAAAGCGATTTTAAAATTAAGATTATACTTTTATTTATTGCTTCAGACATCTTTAATTGATTTAATGGTTCAGGACTTCTGATAGCTCAATATATCTTTGAGGTAGTAATAATTTTATTTAAATCTAACTGCCGCACGCAGAATACTTAATTAATCATTAAGAGTATAGTTAAGGAATCGCTGAGTGTAGATTTAGTACAAAAATGCGTCTGTTTATGTAATCAGTGTTATTAAAAGTATTATACTTTGATAAAGTATCTTGTTATAAAAGGTAACATTTCAAAACGAAGCTGTGTATTTTTCCAGTCTTTATTGTGTTTTATTAATAGACTCGCAGTCATGTACTTTGTCTATGTATTGTAGCATTAGACACGCTAGTGTAAGGTGTAAAACCGCCTGAAGAGGTCGCACTGGTCGCGGTACAGTAACGCAAATAAAACAAATTTTTGTTTGTATTTTCTTTAAATCCGGCGCAGGGACGGGTCATCGCTACGGTGACCATCTTATTAATATTATATATGAGAAATTTTGGATGAATGGATCTCGATGATTTTGCACAGACATAGAACATAGTCTAGAAGAACACGTAGGCTAATTATTAATTTTTTTTTTTAAATTCCGTGCGGATGGAGTCCCGGGCGACAGCTAGTCTATATAAAAGATAGTCGTGTTAGTTACGCTATTTGTAACTCAATGCCGGCTGAATCGATTTGGCTAAAAATGGTTGAGAGGTGGCTTAGAACTAGAAGACGGACAAAAGATTTTTATCCCCTTTCCGTGGGACATAACATTGATGATAAAGACGACTTAATATTGCCGGTCACTTGGATGTCATTGTTTAGGTTTTTTTTCGAATATAGATTAACGTATAACACTATTTGTTAATTAAAAACTAAACCAGAGACTGTAACTTTTTTTTTAATTACAACAAACGTCATCTACAGACTCTTGACTCTGTACTTTTTATTTGCGCATATTATACAATAGTGATTTTCTACAATAAATTATTCCTTATTTCTAATTTTTTAAGTTAGAAAGACCCATGGTCATGGAGATAGGAGCGTCTCTGTTACGTAGGGCCATTAGGGTGTTTTTTATGAACTCTAATTTAATAACGAATCCTAATTTAATATTTACACAAATATTTTAATGAATTAATTTAAATTAATATCCAATTAAAAACCTAAAAGAGGCAAACCCTATTCAATGTAAGCGTTTATAATTAGACGATGAAAAAGTCCCGACTTCCCTTGACACGCATTTGAGTGCAAATGCGCCTTTGATTTAACGACGCTGAATGCAGCCGCTTTTCGCTTTGCGTTTGCTGTAATGTTCTCGTTTATGTGTTTTCAAGTGCCTTCGTATTTGCGTAAGTGATGAATATAAAACCGTTATGGAACGAATGAAAATAACAAGTTGGTTTAAAATTGTTCTAAAGAATTAGTTGCTACTTTTACAGGTTGATAGTTTGACATGGAAAAGAAAACAATAGTTTCAATAATTGTAACTTAATAGAGTCTAAAATAATCTAGTCTAATTTTAATAGAGGAAAGATTTCAATATTTGTTTGCATTGAATAGGCTACGAAAATACTGAACCGATTTGAAAAAATTCTTGAACTGTTGGAAAGCTACACTATACCCATGTTACATCATCATCAGCTCACTATACGTCCCCACCGAGGGGCTCGGAGCCTACCCTAAGTTAGGGGTGATTTGGCCATAGTCAACCACGATGACCCAATGCGGGTCGGTTGACTTCACACATATCTTTGAATTTATTCGCAGATATGTGCAGGTTGCATCACGATGTTTTCTTTCACCGTAAGAGCGTCGGATAAATGTACATATGTAAATCAGAAATCAAAAAAACATTAATACATGGTGGATTCGAACCCAGGACCTGCAGATTGCAAGTCAAGTTTAACCCCTGAGCCACCGACGCTCTAACCCTTGTTACTTAGGCTGTTTTATTACTGTTTCTTTTTTAATTCTGCTGGGACGAAGTTAACCAATGGTATCACAATGTGATGTTTACAGGACGACTTCCTCCTGCGTCACTATGACAAGGGCCCCTGCAAGAACAAGCTGGGACACTCGCGCGCCTCTGTTCTCTGGCATCGCGCTCAGGTAACTAACTAATCTTACTAATATTATAAATGCGAATGTTTAGATGGATGGATGTTTGTTAAAAAATATCTGGACAATGGCTCAACGGATGTCGATTAAAGTTGGCATAGATGTAGAACATAGTCTAAAAGAATACATAGCCTAATTATTTTTTTTTAATTCCGCGCGGCCGGTGTCGCGGGCGACAGGTAGTCGTTACATAAGTATTTACGACTTTTGGGATAAGATTTGTAAGGAGTATTGTATTGATTTCAAATGTCTTTTCTCTTTTCATATGAGCCATGAAGATCTTATGCCTTAATGTTTAATAGAAAATGAAAATACCTACTTACTTAAAAATAATGTGTTATGATTACAGGTGGTGGGTATTTTCGCGGGCTTCGGTCTGCTGTTGCTGGTGGCCAGCCCGCTGCTGCTGCTCGCTGCGCCCTGCATCGTCTGCTGCAAGTGCAGGTGATGACTGACTACCACACAATACATTCATACAACTTTGCACATAAACACAATACTAAATCTTACTAATATTATAAATGCGAATGTTTAGATGGATGGATGGATGTTTGTTTAAGGTCTCTTCAGAACGGCTGAATGGATATCGCTGAAATTTGGCATACATATAGAGCATAGTCTGAAATAACACATGGGTTACTAATATTGTTTTCTTTTTAATTCCGCGCGGACGGAGTCGCCGGCCTCAGCTAATATTGTATAGTTGTGTCGCAAGAATCAGGTTGCACGCAAGCTCGTGAGCTTCGTACACACAACATTTAATTGTCGACTCCAGTTGTCTATCATATAGAACTCCATTGCAATGATACTTGTATTTATACTTAATTCGAACTTGGATATACAAAAACCCCAATTTAGGCGAATTAACTTCGTAAAAAAGGAACCTGGGTAAGAGAAACCTCTATATATGAGAAGAATATCGGGGGGTCCTCTTTGTTTTATCAAATAGAATGAAAATGTAACATCAGTAGAAACTCACTTTAAGATTTCAAAGTAAACTGACTTGTAGAGAACATGACTTACTTAAGGTCCCCGTGGTGGAGCAGATGGCGTCCACAATGCATGAGAACATGAAGTCGGCTAAAAATAAAATGTATTTACAGTTTTAGACATTGTTTGTTATAATCTTTTGGCGCGAATGGCGCGCTTTCGGTACAAAGTCAAATGTCAGAATGATTAGTGATGGGACATAAACGTCGATATTTTAGTAAGGCTAGTATTGTACCAGTACACCGGCACAGTGTCGGATTTTCTTCCTAACAGTAAAAATAATATTTCTATTTTAGACTATGTAATCCAAATACGAAGAATCTGGAAGAAGTAGAGGAAATCGAGAGCATCAGCCCGGCGCGTGACGACGACGACGAGGAGATAACGCGTGCTACACGCTACATCTCCGATTGACGGAGCAATACATATTGAATGTACAAAAGACTTCGGTAAACCATTGCTTTCAGCCTATTTGTGAAATTATATCGATATACGTGTCAAATGAAAATGGACTCAGTGTGTTTAAAAATAAGATCTATTTTTAATTGATGTCTGTTAAAATTTACGATTGTTTTTCTTCAATTGCCATATCTTTGTTGAAATGAACTGTTTTAGTGAATAAAATTAGTTTGCGCTAATATTTAGATTTATACAATCTTACAAAAAAATAATACTGTTTTGGTGCAGACTTTAAAATTTTGACGTTCAAAAACTAAATATTAAAAGATTAATCGCGACCATAATTGTTGAATTAAAATTATAAATGATTCTTTAAAAATATTACAATTAAATAAAAAAAATAACCAGAGTATTGTGACTACCAAATTAATTGACGTGAAAACAATTCGTAGGACTTTATATAAAAACCTTAAAAAAACAACGAAAAAGTAAAAAACGATGCTAATCAAATAAACATCACAGAGTAAAAATATTTCATAGAGTAAAAAAAATAATCGCGAAATTATATTAAGATGGTTGACTGATATTTTTTTCGTAACTGTGTATTTTCATTGCAGAACACAAACATATTGTCATCTTTGTCGTTTCTAATAAATAGAAAGAGATGGTACTATGTTTTTGTGTCGTGTTTCGGCAGTGTTAACTCACAGTAAGACTTGAGACTGAAGAGTGTTGAGCGGCAAGTGCCAAGAAAGCTTTTTAGTTTAAATGAATGAAAGTTATTTAATTTTGAATAGACACGTTTAGTTTATTACTATTCATTTCGTTATTATTGGATCACTTACCGTGGGTTTCTAAAATCTCCGTTTAAAATTTATTGTTATCTCTGTTTTGTCAAAGATGAAAGACAAGGACGATATTTGATACAGAGATTTTTGCGTCAGAAACCTACTTTTAAAGTAACGATTTAAAGAAAAGCTTCTCTAAACAACTTAAATAAGTACTTCATATTAGTCATATGTTTTGTAAAGGATTGATTCTGATCGTATATTTTTGTAAAAATAACCCGCGAGGAATACAGATTAAATATATTTTTAGTTTAAACATAAAATTTAATTCAGACAGTGATCGAAAAGTTATTAAAGCATTTAATTCTTTTATTTTTAATAAACAGAAAAAAAATTACAAAGTGATTGTAAAAAATTTAAATATGGAATTCGTTCGAAAAAATAAAACTTTGCTGTCACTGTTTAAATTAGATAGAGAAGAAAAATATATAGGAGTTAGTAACTGCAATGCAGTGGGAGCGAGACGGATATATTTATGTTCATTTCACCTGTGATGGCTGGATGTAAGGGAATAAATTGATCAGCTTGTGCTGTGAGCAACAGCGCCTTAAGCATGTAATTTATTATTAGTGGATTAATATTTATGATTTATTGTAAATAAGGGTTAATATTGTACTTAATTATAATAGGGATTGATGGTGCACCAGTTTTATTTTGCGTATTTTCTTACTGGCAAAATTAAATTTTTAAAATTTGTTGCTGACAACACTAAATACAAATATGACCTGAATGATCTCAAATTAGTCCATTCAAATGCTATTTAATCGTATTTTTTTTACAAATTCTAGACCAGTATCGATTAATCGATTATTTATAAACATGAATCGATTATTAATAATTGACAATGATTTTTTTGACATTGCGTTTAATGACCATTTATATACCATAAAGTGTATGAAAACTTGATATATTGAAATAAATAAAAGCTTAGAACTGCCGTTATTCACATTTGCAACGAATCAATTTTTGATTTAATATACTTGAAGACGGAACCTAGTCCTAGTAACTTTGGTATTCAAATCATGAATTCTTTTTGTCGTTACTTAAAATATCAATTTTGTTTAAATTTAAAATCGCATAATCGAATAGAAATTTCCATTTCATTCTTGAAGATTTATATTAGATTTAAGTAACTGGTTTTCATTTAAAACATTTTTATTCAATTCCGAGTTCAAAATGCACTGTTGATCTTTCTTAGCTTGTTTTAGCAAGCTAGTTAAAAGCATTTGTAGACTTAATTAAAAAAAAATTGTTAGTAGCTTAGTTTGTAAGTTAATATTTTGCGATTAAGTTGTCTAACAGTTGATAATGAAATATTTATACAAAAACATTGTCTCGAGCTTTTCAAAGTAAACGAGATCATGATATGTTTTTGTTTAAATGTCTCAGTGTAAATTCGCTGTAATGTTTGAATTCACACAGTATGTTAATGTGATTTTGGATCTTATATGTTTTTGTTAGACATAAACTCTTTTATAATACAATTTAAAACTATATTTACTATATGACATAGAATCTCAATGTTGAAGATGATATAAAAATTATGATTACATTACGTTTTGATGGTAATTCAATGGATTAAGGATTTAAAAAATATATATCTGTATTTTTTGAGCTTATGTCTAACAAATTTTATTTTGTATATACGAAAATGAAATTTATTTTTTTTGTTGTTATCGATTACATTTCTTGTTTATTTTGTGTTTAAATGAAATAATTTTCCGTTACTATAATTATGAATGATAAAATAAAGTTTTTTTTTTTGGATAAATCTTAGAACTGTCTTTTTATTTATCCTTTAAAATCATATGAAAACTACACAATTTATTTAAAAAAAATAAACTCTTGTCTATGATTTGTAAATAACATAAAAACAAAATTACTAACTTACTATTTATTTACAGCATTTATTAAAACATATTCCACAACTTACAATGATCTTGCATTGGTAGGATATTATCAATATTCAACAAGCAAAAGTATGCTTATAAATATAGTTAATCACAATTTTCTAAACAATCCCGCAGTGCTGTCAAATAAGAGTGGGTTTTTAAACTCTCCACGCATATCCAACATATAATGCATCATAGTATTCTTGACTTTAATAGGTAGTTGAACTTTGGCCTTAGTCCTGTTCTCTTTGCAGCAGATATTTTCGATAGGTACCTTCATCATGCGGTTCTTACCGAATGGACCATATGTCACAAAGGTTATATGCTGGCCACCTTTGTTTAGTATCAAGTATCGGACAGACTTTAACGTGTACATCCAAACCATACCCAAAGATCCAGTACCTGAAAATATTATATTTTAGTTTATTCCCATCACTTTCACCAGCTTGTCGACTTATGAACAAAAATTTTCGGGATATTACAAGTTACAACATAAAAATAAAGAATATAATTACCAATAAATAAGGCAACAGCTCCTAAAGTATTTCTATACTTATTTTCACCTAGGTTTATTCTTCTAAACCAAGGAGTTTCTTCTGTAATCACTGACTGGTCGACTGGTGCATCCCTCAAAGATTTAAAGGCAAAGACGCCAAGGTATGTCCAAAACATATACTGAACGACAGCAAATACGTTCATATATTTAAAAAACTTCGGATTCTCATATTTAAATAATATAACGTCCCTAGCAACTTTGGTATTCACATCATGAATTGTTTTTGTCGTTACTGAACTATAAGACGAATTCCGCGTTACATGACATAAATTGATAAATATAGGAAATGGGTGGAAACTAATGCTTCTTTTTAAAATTGTACTAGCAAATGATAGTAATGACATTGTTGTTTTATAGCATTTAAACTTAATTTAAACTTTTTTTTTCGATATTCATAACCTTAAATTGCGAAGTGACATTGACAACATTGATTTGACGTTTAACAATGACGTATCGAGAACAACGCAGAGGGTTTAATGGAGGCACT